GTGTAAACAGTGTTGACACTAGCTAAACATTCTCCATCAATGTCGATCAAGCAGAGGTGCGAGTGCAACACGTTACATATAATACAATTGTGTACACCCCGATGCAACTACTTTGAGCTCTAGATCCCTAGTGTCCATTTAATCGCCCACAGAAACTCAGTAAAAATGACACATGTTTTATTTTATATAGATTTTCGTATTGGGCCGATGGTGGCCGTAAATTGTGTCCAGCCTGACAAATCTCTTTTTTGTATGTGAGCCTCCCTATAACGTGCAAAACCGCGAGCGTTAGCACATCCTTGCTATTTTGAAGCATGTTTTGCAACTTGTGTGAAAACCGCACCGTCAAATAATAATAAAAATTGACTGAGTTATGGGCACTCGACGAGGTGGCCGTATAATTGTGTCCAGGAGTGTAGTTGAATCGAGCTTAACAGACGAGGCCATGCTCGAACTATATTCATCCAATTATTGTTTTTTAAATTATTCGATAGATATCGGTTGATTGAAGCTGTATCGAAGCTGTCCTTTTACTGAATCAACAAACAACATCTGATCTTTCTTCTCAGTAGCCTTATTGTAATAATAGACTATGCTTCGTTCATCCACTCCCCGAATATTGAAGTCTTTGACAACCATAACCAAATCACGTTTGGAATTGGCTTTCAGAATAGCTACATATTCCGAATTCAAGCTAATAATCTTATCAGTTGCAAAGTAGCTGTGGCTAAAAAAAATGGTACTTAATTTGAAATGTCTCCCTCTGGTCATGTAGTGTGAGAAGAGGTTATTCTGAAGTAGCTTATCGCTGCTATAGTCATCCATGATGACAAGTTCAGGTTTGTAAGAGCTCATTGTACCTGATCGACACTTGGAGGTGAGGCAGGATCAGCGAAAGTGATAAATTCATCAAGCTTATCGCGGAGATACTCATAAAGCTCTTGATGAGAATTACGAGCAATGATTGTTAAATGGGCAAAGACATGTGGTGAATGTTTTAGAATGAACATACAGAGATTGTTCTTACCTGAGAACGAAATTCCCAACACAATCATTCTGAATAGGGATAAATCAGGAATATCTTTCATCGATGCCGACTTGAACTTTTTCGCTAATGATGCATCGAAATCAGGGATACCGCTCATGATTATCGTCTTATCGATATAGGATTAAACAAAATGAGTTCAGGGTTTACATATCCTCAACCGACTTTCCAGTCGCCAATATACAATCCGGCATTTTATCTAAACGTTAGATGCGAACGGGTATCTTACCTATCAGTATGCGTAGACGCTTTACCTCGATAAGAACAATTACCGCCTGACTTACATAAGAGGAATTACCCAAGGAACAGCAACACAAGGTATAGCCCTCGTTCGAGGTACCAATAACGATATTAGCGGAATTGGGGCATTACCTTGTAGCAGCCTAACCGTGAATGGTTCCACTGTATCATCTGCCCACTCGTACGTAGTAAGTATCACGCTTGGAACAGCCGCTATCAACCAGGGATCGGATAATAAAATGTTTTATTTTACGGAAGAACGATCACCTGCGTAATAGCGACTGCAATACGACCTGAAGCATTAGTAATAACTTTGCAATATAATGAATATATTGGGCATATGCGTCTCCACCGTCGAACCTACGTCCTCATTAACGCCTCTCAGTCGCTTGCAGTGGTGTCAACGAGAGTGCTTGCATTCCACATATCAAGGTTAGCACGGAGAAACGTTAGCACCTCAAAATTGGCATCTGCCAACCGCCCTCTCTGCGGAGTCAGAATAAGCTTCGTCTGCGAGAACAGACGCTCGCACGCATTACTTGTCGGTGGAATCTTTGTTAGTAGAGCGTTGTAGACCACAGACGAGCGGCCCGTCCTGCGCGCTGCTGAGCCTTCCAGCAGAACCGTCGTAGCGAAGTCTGGAGTGCAGTCTCTCTTGCGTTTATCGCCAACGCCAGTCGGTCGATCCGAAGCAAATTTCGAGACGGATTTGGCCTCAGCAGCTGTTAATAGAGAACCATTTGCCACCTTAATTACCGCATTCGCAAAAGTCGGTGAGTGCACTATTTGTGAAGAGGGATCCAGGTGGGAGCCCAAATCTAATAACCGATCCAGGAGCGAATTAAACAGCAATCGGGTGTCGGCCATCGTAGTCTCGTCGTCCTGCAACTTCTTGTAGACGCTGTCGAACACGCGCAAATCTTCGTTCAGTGCCACGATTTTTCGGTGGGCGGATGCAGAAGGAAGAAACTCCTCAACCGCTTTAACCTTCCTAATATCGCCCCGGATTTTGATGTAGCGGGAGACCATCTCGCGTGTTGACGACCAGCGCGTCGCGTTCCTCTTAACTAGGCGAAGCTCAGTAAATTTCGCCAACTCGGCGCTATTGTTTGGGTGCCGCAGCTGTACCATGAGCGTACTCACCTGATCCAGCTCCACCTCGTACCGGCTCAAAAATAGTTGGACAGCCAAGTTGAGCCGGTGGCTGGCACACCCAACCAAGGGTACCTCCAGTTTAATCGCAATTGAGCGATTCGTCGAGCAATTATCACCAACCACGAACAAAACCATGGCGAGTGTCTTGTTGTAGAGGTCCAGGACCCGCTGGAAGTGATCAATATGTACGTCCGCTGTCTGTGACCCCTCAACGACTAATGAAATCGATAGCAATCGACGACAGAATGTGCCACCGTGAATGTAGACGCAGAACAATGCGACAAAATGCGTAGAGCCATGCGTCCACCCGTCAAAATTGATGCCAAATGCATCGCCCATCTCCTCCTCGAGTATCAAGCCCACTTTGGCGGCAGCAAGATGCATCTTTACCTTCAGTGTCTTCGAGCTTGTACCTCTGCATGTCCCGGGCAGCAACAATTTTGTATTTGGAGCAGGAGGTACGACATATCGGAGCTACAGAATCGGCACTGGGACCGATAACGTACAGCGTGGCTGGTATATTCAGTGGATACATTGCATGCACGCAAATGACGATGGCGTCGGAGCGACGCCTTAAAAAGAATATTCAATCATGCCCAATTGATCGTGTGAACCGCTTATATGATCAAATAAGATGTCGAATTTATACCGAATGGATTGAATCGGGAAAACCGTCCAGG